TGCAGGTGCAGGGTCGGGCAAGTCACGCTGTCGCTGCTGCTCCACCTCCTCTGGCGTCTGCTGCGACGGCACCTACCCCTGTTGCTGCTCCTGGGGCTCTTCCTCTGCCCTCTCTTGCTGCGGCTGCAGGTGCGCCTCTTGCTGCGACCGAGAATCCTGCGGTACCCTCTCCTGCTACGGCCGTGACTCCTCCTCTACTCTCTCCTGCTGCGGGTGTAACTACACCTGCTGCTACGGGCGGGACTCCTACTCTACCCTCTCCTGCTGTGACTGCAAATGCACCTGGTGCTGTAGTCGTAGCTCCTCCTCTACTCTCTCTTGCTGCGGCTGTAACTGCACCTGCTGCCACTGTCGTGACCCCTCCTCTGCTCTCTCCTGTTGCGGCTGTGACTCCTCCTCTACTCTCTCCTGCTGTGGCTGTGGCTCCTCCTCTATTCTCTCCTGACGATGCGTCTGAGACTGCTCCTGCTGCTGCTGCTGTCGTGCCCTCTCAAACCTCCCCCGCTCCTCCCTCTCCAGCTGGAAGAGACGTTGCTCACGGGTCAGGAAACGTACAGTGCGCGGTGTAGGCGCCACAGTGCCAATGTCTTCGGCTCCAGTTCCCCCAGAACCAGCACCTCCACCACCGACACCCCCGGTGCCTCCAGTACCTCCCGCGGGAACACCCCCAGGCTCCGCAGCAACCAGCCGCAGAGAAGAATGAGGAGGGAACTCCGGGACGGACGGGAAGCCAGGGGGTGACGCGGGGCGAGGCCGCCGAGTTGAGGCTGCCGTGTCCTCCACGGGAGTGACCTCCACGCCCACACCCCCAGAGCCAACACCACCAGCTCCAGCAGCCCCAGTACCCTCACCCTCCGCAACTGCACCTCCCGCACCCCCAGACACGACAGAGACTGGACGCTGCAAGGGGACGACTGCGGAGTGACGTGCGACACACCTGACGGGGCAGGACACGAAGGGGGGGGCTACCGGGGCGACTAGGGGGGGCTCAAGGGTGAGGAATAGCGGGGGGGGGGAAATACCTCAGTACCTCGGTGGGGGCGACTCCTGTAGTAACAGACAGACTCATCGAACGTGACGTTCTGAGAAGTGAAGAACTGGTAGGTGACCGGGTCGTAGAACACCCAGCAGGAGGTATCCAAAGGGAAGCCAAGAAAGACGTAGGCACGAGTGCACGGAGACAACTTGTTCGCGCCAGGGGCTTGAACGTGAGCCAGAGAAACCCAGACGCGGAAGCCAGCTGCTACGCCCGGAAAACCTATCCATAGGGAGACCGGCATCACCCCTGGCCGTGCGTCACTGGGCCACTGGTTCAACTAGTGCGCGGCGTAGCGGACTGCCTGAGGCCACAGGAACTGGGGGGCACTGGCATGGCACATGGGGGTCCGGGCAACCTCCGTGACCAGGCCGATGCGTCGCTTGGCTACCCCGTTTTGCTGCGGCGAGTCTGGTAGCGTGTAAGATTGGATGATCCCCTGACCCTGATAAAATGCCTCCAGGCGAGTGGAAGAAAACTCAGGGTCAGGGTTATCAAGTTCAGCGAAAGGGCCAAACACGAAATGGGGGGCCGAGGAGCCAAGGGGCCGAGAGGCAGGGCCGAGGGGCCTAGGGGCCGAGGGGCCAAACACGAAGTTGGGGGGGGGGGGGGGAGGGGGGGGCAAGGGGCCGAGGTGCCAAGGGGCCGAGGGGCGTGGGGCCTAGGGGCCGAGGTGCCGAGGGGCCTAGGGGCGGGGCCGGGGGGCCAAGGTGCCGAGGGGCCAAACACGAAGTGGGGGGAGGGGGGTCGACGGGCCAGGGCGCGGGCTAGGGGTCGACGGGGCCGTGGTGCGGGCTAGGGATCGACGGGGCCGTGGCGCGGGCTAGGGGTCGACGGGCCGGGGCGCGGGCTAGGGGTCGACGGGCCGGGGCGCGGGCTAGGGGTCGACGGGCCGGGGCGCGGGCTAGGGGTCGACGGGCCGGGGCGCGGGCTAGGGGTCGACGGGCCGGGGCGCGGGCTAGGGGTCGACGGGCCGGGGCGCGGGCTAGGGGTCGACGGGCCAGGGCGCGGGCTCGGGATCGACGGGGCTGTGGCGCGGGCTAGGGGTCTACGGGGCCGTGGCGCGGGCTGGGGGTTGGGCTAGGGGTCGACAGGGCCTGGCGCGCGGGCTAGGGGTCGACAGGGCCGGGGCGCGCGGGCTAGGGGTCGACGGGGCCTGGGCGCGCGGGCTAGGGGTCGACGGGCCGGGCGGGTGGGCTAGGTGTCGACAGGGCCAGGGCGCGCGGGCTAGGGTCGACGGGGCCTGGGCGCGAGGGCTAGGGGTGGACAGGGCCTGGCGCGCGGGCTAGGGGTCGACTGGGGCCGGGGCGCGCGGGCTAGGGGTCGACAAGGCCTGGCGCGCGGGCTAGGGGTCGACGGGCCGAGGCGCGCGAGCTAGGGGTTGACGGGCCGGGCGGGCGGGCTAGGTGTCGACGGAGCCGAGCGCGTGCTAGGGGTCGACGGGCCTAGGGGCGCGTTGGCTAGGGCCTACGGGCCGGTCTAGGGGCGACGGGCCTAGGGGCGACGGGCAGAGGGGCGGCACGAGGGTCGCTAAGGGCTGCTAGTGGGGCAGCGAAGTGGTGGGCCCAAGGAAAAACCGGTCCTAGCAGAGGACCTGCTCTGAAACCATGTCACGAGAATGAATGAGGATGAAATGAACTAGCAAAGAGTTGGGTACAAGTACTAACCCTAATTGGGCTGTACCCCTTATGGGCTACAGCCTACACAAATATAAGCTATATATAAGTTTGACACTGAGATGGTGACACGTGGCATCGTGTCCCAGTTGCCAGCTCATGAAATCATCACGGAAGCGGCCGGCATGGCAATTGCAGCCGATACGACCCCCAGAGCGTGCTTGGCATCATGTGACAATGGACTTCGTCAGGGGTTACCGGCAGGAGCAAGTGGGAACGACGCGATCCTGGTCGTCGTCGATCGGCTGACAAAAATGGCACACTTCACAGCTTGCAAAAAATCAATCAAGCCGAAGAAACAGCCCGCCTCTTCATCTCCATCGTCGTTCGATTTCAGCGATCATCAACGATCGCGACACGAAATTCACCAGCAACTTCTGGCGGAACCTGTGGCAGCAGTTCGGCACGCGATTATAGTTCAGATCATCATACCACCCCGAAACCGACGGACAGATAGAACGGACAAACCGGACCATGGAACAACTCATCCGAGCCACGTGCGACGACCGGACCACGTGGAAACAGCAACTGCCACTCATCGAGTTCGCATACAACAACTCGCCATCCGCCATGACCCAACAGTCACCTTTTTACCTGAACTACGGACAAGACCCCACAGTGCCCATGACTCCGAATACCGTCAACCCAGTACCACACGCGCAACAGTTCGCAGAAGTTTTACAAGCAGCACAGACCCGAGCAGCAAACGCAATAAAAAAATCAAACATCATCGCTAATCGTAACGCCGACCACCATCGCCGACCCGTCACTTACCAGCCCGACGATTTCGTTTTAGTCGACACCCAAAACCTCCGCCTGCCTATTCCCCCAAAACTCCGCCCCCGATATTGTGGGCCATTTCGCATCAGCCACATGATCACCCCCGTCACCGCCCACCTCCTCCTCCCAGCTGACTGTTACGTCAGCCCGTCGTTCCACGTCAACCTCCTTCGTCCATACATCCCCTCCACCAGCCAACTGCCTCGCAACAGACCAAACAGCATGACACGACCACCAATGTCAGAATCCCAACCACTAGACCATTGGGATAAAAGGGCTTGTTAAGTAGCGGGCCATAACCCCCCAGGCCAACATGCCTGTAACCCTTCCCTAGGATCAATCGGGGATCACCAGTGGACCTCTGACAGCCAACAGAGCCAATCATCACGCCCGAAAAAATACTGAGCCACTGAGTTCGTGACCCACGAGGAGCCCGGAGAGTCGAATTTCTGATCCGCTGGAAAGACCGCACGCCCATCGAAGACAATTGGGTTCCCTTGAATAGAATCGAAAACCACCGAGTCCTCACCGAGTATCTGCTCATCCGCAATTTCCGGGATGTACACGTGCTTTCGTAAGGAAGGCCTCCTTAGGGGGGGGGTAGTGTAAGGAAAATTCATTCTCCTTACTTCGCGTCCCTGCTCAGCGTGTACACCACTGTTCCCGCCAACAACCTTCAACAGTGCACCGTTCTTACTCGCAACACTCGCCTCGACCACTGTTCCCGCCTCTGTTCACGACGCGACCCAAGCTCACAGTTCGGTTGATAACCCGCGCTCCGGACCCCCGCCTCGACAATTCCCAGCCTCGGCGCTAGGCCCGTAGCGCACCCCATTTTCACACATTACCGTTACCACTTGGGCTTCGCTATATATTCTTCGCTCATTCCTTCGCTCGATGTACTGTTTTGTTTCGATAGTGCAATTTTCGCTCGCTCGCTCCATTGCACTCGTAACAAAATCTAACCATAGCAATTCCAGTTATGAAGTTAGCAACCAGACTCACTCTATTGTACCCTATTTGAGTGAAAATCAGAACTGTCCTGAGCAGTAGCCAAAACACATTCTCAGCTGAATTACGGAATATAACACCAGTACACACACTCTTGCAGCACAAGATGAGCTAGAATATTAAATCACCAGAGGAATATATTGAGTACCGTATCATCCCGGATAGAAGCGCAGGCCTATTATAAGCGCACGCGCTTCTATCTGGAGCAATGCGCTTATGGCCGATCCTCAATTATAAGCGCACCCCCTGTGAAAATGTTACTTATTATAAGCGCATGTACAATTTTAAATTATAATTTCTGTTCGAAACGGTAGCGAGCTCAGTTGAAATGGCAAGAGTGAAACATACAATTTGGTGTCTTAAATTTATAAATTCGTATATGTCATTATATAAGCGCATGCGCTTATAAAAATGACTCAATTAGAAGCGCACCCCCCTAAAAAACATTGTTTTATTATAAGCGCACCTGCGCTTCTATCGGGGTGATACGGTATCTCTTAAACGGAAAGATTGCGGACCCGCTGCCTTAATTCCTCGAGCTGCTGAGTGGACGTCTGCAGCTGCGATTGCAGAGCATCCACGCGCACCAGCTCATCGTCCACAGCACGGCGGTACGGCGCCAGCTCAGCGCGGATGCGTGTCTCCAGGTCGGCCAGGCGGCTCTGCAGCTCGCCTTCCAGCCCCTCCTCCAGGCGCTTGATGAGCCCCGCTGCACGCTGCCGTATCTTGCCCTTCACCTTCTCCCGCCGCTGTGGGAAGGTGAGCACGTTCAGGGAGCTGTATGTGCGCAGGCGGGTGGGGGGAGGATGGGCGCATTGAAAAAGAAGTGGTGGTTGTGTTGGTGGAAGAGCACATGGAGCTTAACCACGGCAGTGGGCAGCTCACACTCAATCAGCTAGGCACCCTCCTCAGGCTGCTTCGAGGCCAACTACACGATGCAAGCCCCAACCTACGGCTACTTCAGTTAGTGCAAGGCAGGGAGCGCAAGGGTGCTCACCCGCCAGCGGTGCAGACAGTGAGGGCGAGCAGGTCCTCCAGTGACGACTGCAGCACGGCCGTGAGCACTGATGCCGACACCCCTGCCACGCCCAGCCCTGTCACCGTGCTCACCACCTGTTCCATGCGATGGCATGGCAGGGTTGTGGTCGTGCCGCATGTAGGAGGTGGAGACAGGATGGGATGGGGAAGTGGAAGTGGGGTGACGGGGAAGGGGAGGGAATGGGAAGGCATGACAGGACAAGTAAAGAATTGAAAACAATGGGATTGGGCGAAAGAGGGGTAGGAGAGAGGAGGTTTAGCATCGAGAGGTCAAAAGTGGAGAGGGAAGAGGGGGGTGCGAGCATGGTTGAGAGGGATTGGTGGAGGAAGCGGGCGAAGAGAGAATGTGGACTAGTGGAAGGTGGATCGATGCGAGGACGGCGTGGGGCATTCAGGATCACAGTGACAGCTGCCATTCCCAGCTTTCTTACCCACACATTCACCAATTCCCTCCCATCTCTTCCTTACTTGTCTTCTCATTCTCTTTTCCCAGACTCCCTCATCTCACCGACTCCCTCATCTCACCGACTCCCTCATCTCACCGCCTCCCTCATCTCACCGACTCCCTCATCTCACCGCCTCCCGCATCTCACCGACTCCCTCATCTCACCGCCTCCCGCATCTCACCGACTCCCTCATTTCTTCCTCCAGCAGCAGCGCAGCAGCGCGCGGGCTGAACCCCTCCAGAATGCCAACCGTCTCGGGGATCCTCCCCTCCTCGCCCTCGCCCTCGCTCTCCTCCTCGCTGCCCGGCTGCGTGGGGGCGGGCGGCACGGAGGGCCAGCGGGTGCGGGCGAAGTCGCGGTAGCTGGCGAGCTGGCGCGCGTTGTTGGAGCGCAGCCACACGTGGTGCTCCACCAGCGCTCGCTGCTCACCGTGTGTGGTGGGGGGAGAGGGGGCTTGGTCATCAAAGTTTTGCATGGGTTGAGCGCAGGGAGCGAAAGGAGGCAGTAGGGATGCAGCACGGCGTGTCGGATGCAGACGCCAAAACACTGAGTGGTGACAACGGTGGGCGCGTGTGAGTGAAGCGGACTCGATAACCAAGTAGTCCAGAGGACGTGGTCGTGTTGCTGCCTACGGATACCAACTTACCGGAATGCCAGGCATGGCAGGCACGGCAGGCATAGCATGCACTAAGGCATAACGGCATGGGAACAAGCACATGGCAGCACTCACCCGCACGTCCGCCACCACGGTGCCCACGATCTGCGTCTGAAAGCTCTTGCTCACAGGCAGCATGCCGCCACTGCCACTCGCCCCATTGCCACCACCCCCACCACCCCCTCCGGGCGGCGAGAACAGGTACTGCAGCATGACGTCAGCATTGCCCAGCCGCAGAGTCGCCTCCACAAACTCCTCTGCCCTCCCCGCCGCCTCCCTCACGAGTGCGGCCACACGGGAGCGCTGCAGCAGCGAGTCGGTGCGCATGGCGGCGCTGTACCCCTCCATCTGCGCCTCCACCGCTGCCAGAGCCTCGTCATCCCGCACTGCCGCCTCTGCCTGTGCCGTTAACTGCCCCTCCGCGCCCGCCAGCAGCGCCGACGCCACTCCCAGGGGCGTGTCCAGCTTCAGCCGCAGCCGCTCTGCGCCGGCGTCGGAGGAACCTTCCAGGAACTGCTGGATGAAGATCTCGAGGTCGGCAAAGCCTGAGGCCTGGTAGGAGGGGTCGTTGCGCAGGCGGTCGGCAGCCGCCTGGGCGGCAGGGTCGGGCGGCGGGAGGGCGGCGGCGGCGGAGGAGGAGAGGGCGGGCGAGGGCGCGGGGGGGAAGGGGTAGGGCGCGTTGTGGAGGAGCTTGGCGGCGAGGGCGGGGCGCGAGGCGAGGGGGAAGCAGAGCACGGTGTCGACGGCGAGCAGGCGCTTGACATTGGCTGTGACGAACTCCTGCACCTCCCTCATGTCAGCGGGCGAGGAGAGCGAGTCCACCTTATTGAGCGCAAACACCACCTTCTTGCCCCACTGGCGGATGTAGCGCAGGAATGACACCTGGTGTGGGGGTGCAGCAGATAAGCAGAGCGACAGCAATGTCGATGGCAGGTGTGGAGAGTGGAGCGTGAAAGAAGGGCTGCAGGGTTGCATGGTTGGTGGGATGTGGTGGAGCAACGTGGAAGAAGTTGAATTGACAATGTGACACTCGATGGGTGTGCACATGGCATGCACATGGTGTGCACATGGCATGCACATGGCGTGCACATGGCATGCTAATGGTGTGCATGTGGAGTGCATATGAAGCGCGCATAGAAGGGAAGCAGTGAAGGAATGGAGGCACATGCACTTTATTTGAGGGGGTGGAGATGGAGTGAGCAAGGGCAAGAGAACAGGGGGGCAGGTGGGCAGGAGGGCAGGAAAGGAAGAGAGTGAGAGGGCACGGTACGCACCTCAGACTCGGTGAGGGGGCGGTCAGCGGAGAGCACGAAGAGCACGAGGTCGGCCTGGGGCACGAACTCCTCTGTCAGGCGCTGCTGCCGCTCCAATATCACGTTCGTGCCCGGCGTGTCCACCACGTTCATCTGCTCCCATGCCACCCCAGGACCATGGGTGATGGGTGCACGGGACAGGGGGTGAGGAGAAGAAGCACGAGTGGTTCATAATCAGCATTAACGGCAATAATAATGGATGCGTGGGATTCAGCTGGCAATTGTGACGTGAATGGCATTCAGCAGCGCGGGGTAGCAGCGAGGGGCTGAGCGCGCACCTGTTTGAGGAGGTCGGCGGGCAGGAAGCGGATCATGTGGCCGTCGGGGTGGCGCTGCTCCTCCACCGCCATGCGCCCCGCCACCGCCCGCGCTGCCGCCCGCCCCGCCACGGCGCCCCTCTGCGACCCCGCTGCTGCCGCCGACAGCGCTGCACTGGAGGCGGCCTGAGCGGCACGCGCACGCAGCTGCGAGGAGGGCGAGGTGTCGAGGTGGCGCAGCAGCGTGATCTCGTTGGTGGTGGGCACGACGCCCACCTTGAGGAAGGCGTCCCCCAGCAGCGCGTTCACCAGTGACGACTTGCCCGAGTTGAACTCGCCCTGTGCCATGTGCGCCGTCCATGTGTGGCGAGGGAGAGAGGGGGGAAGGGGTGGGACAGGGAGGATTGTGAGCGGCGAGGGCAACAGTCTTTGTGAGCGAACCAAGAGGACGGGTTGGGTGAGATGCAGCAATGTGCGGAGGAAGTGGATTTGCATGCAATGGCTGTAGAGGTACAGCATGGCCAGCCATGACGAGAGAACGCGTGTGATGATGAAGGGGACGTGAATGGAGTATGATGTCATGGGTGCACACATGAATGCATGGCGGCACAGAGGGGCACTGACCACGACAACAACGAGGAAGGGTTCTCCCAGGCGGGCGAGGGAGTCCTCCAACAGCTGTATCTCCGCCATCTGTGTCCATGCCATGCCATGCCATGCCATGCACACACAGGGGAGAGCATGGAGCCATTGTCGGCACGGATTCATGTCGGCATGGAGACCCAGGTACATGCAGGCATGGTGGGAAGCCAAAAGGGGCAAAGAAATAAAGAGCGTGGGATGGGAGGGTGACACATGTGCTATGGTGCTCACATCGGGGTAAGCAGCTCACATCGGGGCAAGCAGCTCACATCGGGGCAGGCAGCATGGAGCAGGGCGAGCAGCGAGGTGAGCAGCTTCCTCTCTGCCTTCATGATCCGCCGCCCCTCCACGTCCAGCAACCCCCGCCCCTCCCTGCCCTCGCCTTCCTCCTCCTCCTCCTCCTCCTCCCTCTCCCCCTTCTCCCCCTTCTCCCCCTTCTCCCCCTTCTCCCCCTTCTCCCCCTTCTCCCCCTTCTCCCCCTTCTCCCCCTCCCCCTCCCCTGCCCCCTGTACGCGCACATCCTCCCCCGCCACAGCACTCGCAGCAGCGGGCCCCGGAGGCCCCCCCACGCCAGATAGCACCTGCTCCACCTCCTCCCTCACCTCCTCTCTCACCTCCTCCACGTCCCCACGCCCTAGGACCTCGTCCCCTGCTGCACCTCCCACTCCCATCCCCACTTCCTCCCCCTCCTCTTCACTCTCCCCCTCACTCTCCGTCTCACTCTCCTCCCCCGCACCCTCCCCCATGCCCTTGGTGACCCACCGAGCATCAGCCATGGCGCCCACCACGCGCCCCACCGCTGCCCGCATCGCCCTGCTCTCCCCGCCACCTCCCACACCCCCTACTTCCCCTGCTTCTGCTCCTGCTGCTTCGGCTGGTTCTGTTGCTGCCGCCTGCAGCAGTGAGGAGAGAGTGACGGCCACGCCAGCAGCGCCGCTGCCCATGACGCCGCGCACCCACTGCACGCCCTCCCCCCCTGCCCACGCGGCCCCCTCGCCCCGCTGCACAAGCACGGGGATGCTCACCTGCCGCGCCCTCACCTGCGCCACTGCTGCCGCATCAGCAGTGCGCCCCGCACGGCTGGCAGTGAGAGCAGCAGCCCCTGGTGCGGGAGCAGAGGGCGCGAGCAGAATGAGGTCGGCGCCGTCAGCGGTGGTGGCGGTGACTGTGGCGGCCACGGAGGCCACTCGGCGTGCCACGAGTGGCAGCAGCGGGCCCGACGCTGCACTCTCCATCATGCGCCGCGCTGCCACTGCCGGCAGGCCTGAGGGTGGGCGCAGGCATGGGGGGACGCGAGGCGCAGAGAGAGCGAGGGGCGCGACCACGGAAAGATGGGGGAAAGAGAAGGGGAGAGGAGAGGAGTGGCAGAGATAGGCGTGAGAGGGATGGAAGACGGGAAGAGGTGTGGCCGGGATGCTGAGGGCATTGGGAAAGCCACAAAAGCGGCAGGTTCAGAAGCAGGGAGAGCGATGGGGGAGGGAAGGACGGTGGCCGTGAGAGGCTAGTGCTGTGATAGAGCATGGGTGCGGCACGTGAGCATGGGTGCGGCATGTGAGCATGGGTGCGGCATGTGAGCATGGGTGTGGCATGTGAGCATGGGTGCGGCATGTGAGCATGGGTGCGGCATGTGAGCATGGGTGTGGCATGTGAGGATGGGTGTGGCATGTGAGGATGGGTGTGGCATGTGAGCATGGGTGCGGCATGTGAGCATGGGTGTGGCATGTGAGCATGGGTGCGGCATGTGAGCATGGGTGCGGCATGTGAGCATGGGTGTGGCATGTGAGGATGGGTGTGGCATGTGAGCATGGGTGCGGCATGTGAGCATGGGTGCGGCATGTGAGCATGGGCGCGGCATGTGAGCATGGGTGTGGCATGTGAGCATGGGTGCGGCATGTGAGCATGGGTGTGGCATGTGAGCATGGGTGCGGCATGTGAGCATGGGTGCGGCATGTGAGCATGGGTGTGGCATGTGAGGATGGGTGTGGCATGTGAGCATGGGTGTGGCATGTGAGGATGGGTGTGGCATGTGAGGCATGTGCCATGCGGTGTGTGCGTTGACCTTCTCAACTTCCTACAATCACACTCCATGTATCATGCCACATGAAAGAAGCCGTTAAAATTTGCTTGCAAATGGGACGCGCCATGTGCCATGCCATGCCACCATGCGACCATGCCATGCCACCATGCGACCATGTCATGCCACCATGCGACCATGCCATGCCACCATGCGACCATGCCATGCCACCATGCGACCATGCCATGCCACCGTGCGACCATGCCATGCCACCATGTGACCATGCCATGCCACCGTGCGACCATGCCATGCCACCATGCGACCATGTCACGCTCCTCTCATCCGTATCTCGCCCTCCTCTCCATTCTTCACCCCTCCCCCACGCTCATCGCACCCCCTCCGCGCACGCTCATCGCACCGTTATCGGACAGCAGGACGCCATCAGCGCCGGCAGCGGCGGCGATATCGGCGCGCTCCGCCACGAGCAGCGGCACTCGCCCGCGCACCACCTCCTTCACGGCGCACGCCGCCTCGAACAGCTCCATGCCCGCGCCGCCCGCGCCCTCCTCCCCCACCACCACCATGGTCACGCCCCCCGCCACTGCCGCATCCACCGCCTCCGCGCTGCCCTGCGCCCCTCCGCGCAGGACTTCCGCGCTGGTCAGCGTCAGCAGCAGCGCCGGCAGGCGCACCTCCGCGCGCTTCTGCCCCGCGCGGAACGAACCGACCGCCACCGACCCCGCGGAGCCCTGCCCGCCCGACGTGGTCGCCGCGACGCGCACGGCCCCTCCATTGGTGCGGCGCGAGGGGGCGGATAGGCGCGTGACGGGGACGAGCGGGAGGCGAGCGGAGAAGAAGGCGGCATGGGTGCTGGAGAGGCGCGCTAGGCGGGGAGGTGCAGCTGCGGGAATGGCAGGGCGCGAGCGAGTCTGTGTACTGGGACCAGCGAAGCGAGCATTCACGAACATTTGCGAATCTGTGCGTTGATGACTCGTGGCGCACACGACGCTCACTCTCGCATCGCGTAATAATAGAGTGGGCGCCATTGTCGGATTCCGATGAATGAGTGAATATCTGACGGAGAACAGAAAGAACGGAGCTAGCCAGCGATCATGGCTGGCAAAACTGATCGCAGTGACGAGTGGGTTGAGAAAGAAGAGACAGCAAGGTTGGGGAATGCATGGATAAGGAGAGAGGTGGATTCGAAGGATTCTGCCAAATCCACTTCGGTATTGGGACAGTACGGTCAAGGGATCACAATGCTGGATTCGGTAACAAGAAAAGCTCGTGTCATGCAACATGTAAAAGCTGAAGAAGTGGAATGTTGCTAAAATTGTGATTCGTCAAATGAATGAAAACTTAAAGCAGAAAACAAATACATGCTATATTATGAGGTTTAAAAACTGTTGGAATAACCGAAAGGTCAAAGTAACATTCCCGAAGGATCTCCACTCACACGTCACTTCATAACAAAGCAACGCGTCTGTAGCAGTACCGCAATAGCTCATATAGATCATGCAGAAGATCGAGAGTCATCCGAAGGTCAACTGTCGTTGTTAGTCAACGGTCACAACTGTTGACCGTCCGGCAACCGCATCAGAGGTTACGCGATGCAATATGGTAACTGTCGAGAATGGCAATAGTCGCAGTTACTGTAGCTATGCAATACAGTTAATAAGGGAATGTACCCCTCAGAGTACATGGCTAGCTAGTTTGCTATTTATACCATTGTGTCTCTATCTCATAATTATCTTGTTCTCTTTCAATATTTATTAACAAGGTCATTACAAAGACTTCATTGTCTTCTCCTATACTTAGCAGACTTATTCTATCCACTACGATCCTTCATTATCACATCATGGTATCGGAGCCAGAGTGGATTATAAGGTCTGTCGAGTTCTTGTTCTTCCTAGAACAAACTCGTTATAAATTACTCATTACAAACTACTACAACTCTGCATCACAATGGCTTGTCAGAATGTTACGTTTTGTCTAGCCTGCAGTGGGGTACTCAATAGTGAGTACAGCCCAAATTTAGGGTTTGCTATATGTACTCAACTGCTTGCTAGTGAAACCCCTCTTTCCTCTTTTCTCATTTCTAACATTCCTGCTGTTTCTTAACATGGAATCAGAGCAGGTCGACCCCCTCGGGTCGATCCTGTGTATGGGCCCCCACCAATGCTTCCGCTGCTGCTGTCCTGCCTATAGCGCGCCTCGGGCGCGCACTATCTTCTTTCCTGCCGCGCGCCTATGGCGCGCGGCCCTTTTTTCTTCCCGCCGCGCGCTAGGGGCGCGCGGCGGTTTTCTGCCCGTCGCGGCCCCTTCGTGGCCCCCGTCGCGGCCCCGTCGCGGCCCTGCCCCGGCCTCACCCCGGCCCCGCCTCGTCGCCTGTCGCGACCCGTCGCGGCCTCGCCCCGGCCTCGCCCCGGACCTGCCCCGTCGCCCGTCGCGGCCCTGTCGCGGCCCCGACCCTGCCCCGACCCTGTCGCGGCCCTGTCCCGGACCTGTCGCGGCCTCGCCCCGGCACTGTCCTGGCCCTGCTCTGGCCCTACCCCGGCCCTGCCCCGGCCCTGCCCCGTCGCCCATTGCGACCCCGTCGCGGCGCCAATTGGGGCCCGCGTGGCGCGGCCCCCCCCAGGGTCGCCTCGACAGGCGAGGGAGGGGCGACTGACGGGGGCCACGCGTCGGCCCCTCCTGTTTTCGTCGCGGCCCCCTCCCCCCCCATCTCCGGCCCTGCCCTTTGTTAGGGTTTGGGGGTGGCGAGTGGGGGGTGGCGAGTGAGTGGCATCCCCTGCTCCTCCTCCTCCTCCGTCTCCCACTGCTGCAGCTGCCGCTGAGGGGGGTGGGGGTGTGGGAGCCGATGGAGTGGTGCTAAGGGGTGGAGTATGAGTAATGCTAGAGGTGCAGCAGGGGGTGTGTGAAAGGGGGGTGAGACAGTTAGAGGATGTTGGGCGGAGGCAGCTGTCGTGTCGCCATCAGCGCCAGTAGTCCGGAGGCTACAATCTCCGGTAGCCCAGCGAGCCTGCTGCGCCAGTCGCCCGTGGGTCCGTTGCTCCTGCAGCTCAGAGTTAGTCGAGGAGCCAGTTACTCCAGTAGTCCGGAGGCTACAATCTCCGGTAGCCACAGTGCGCGCCGCTCCTGTTGCCCGTGTGTCTGCAGCTTCACCTGTCGTCTCCTATCTCTTCTCCTCTCACAGTCCCTCCTCCTCCTCACTTACCGTCTGTGACTGCCTCTAGCTTTGCTTATATTTGTGAACTATAAACTACTGCTGCTTGTACTTGTGCTCAGAATGTGTGGTGACATTGTGATCCACCCTGAGCTTGTTTTGCTTTTCTTGTTGTGCTGATTACACCCCACTTTGGCTATGGGGGTGTGTCAGAATGTTATGTTTTGTCTAGCCTGCAGTGGGGTACTCAATAGTGAGTACAACCCAAATTTAGGGTTTGCTATATGTACTCAACTGCTTGCTAGTGAAACCCCTCTTTCCTCTTTTCTCATTTCTAACATTCCTGCTATTTCTTAACATGGCTCCCGAGGGAAAAGACACTGCAGATTCTCCGGGCCCACCACCAGCAACGCCTGCTGCGCCATCAGCGGTGACCTCTGTCAGCGCCGCTCTCGTGGATCAACTTGTCGCCCGCATCAATGCTCTTGAGAGCCATCAAGCTATGAGCATGGATGGCTCAAGTTACACAAGAGGAGTTGCTGGACTCCCTCTCCCTGGAGAAGACCGTCGCGTCAACTCCTAGAGGTCTTTCACCTTTGACAACCGTAAAGCTTCAGCTCCTTCACAAGACATTCAAGAACGAGTACATCCAGAAACAATTGCGAATCTACAAACAGAATTCATCTTGACTTCAAAGCTAAAGACGTCAACTCAATTCGACGGCAAAGACTTCTACACGTGGAGCTTCGAAATTCGAACTCCTCGCAACAACCGCTCAGATCTGGATGTATTACGACGAAAGCTTACCTTTCCCATCGGAAGGAACCATCCAGGAGAAGCATCAATACTACCACGTGTCAGAATCTAGAACGAGAATGAATGCATTGAACAGAAAGTTGGGTACAAGTACTAACCCTTATTGGGTTGTACCCCTTATGGGCTATCCCACTATAGCCTACACAATATAAGCACTATATATGTTTGACACACGCCCATAGGCAAAGAGGGGGAGAACAAGTGGTCTCAAGATCAGTCAAGAAAAGCAAAGCAAGCTCAGGGTGGATCACGAATTCACCACGCATTCTGAGCACAAGCAAATGGCCACAAGGCCAGTTCACATGCAGAGTTATACAAAAGAGAACAACCAGTACAGTGATCAAAGCCTAGCAAGAGTAAGCATGCAGGTACACATATACATCACAGTACAACAGAGTCAAGCAGTGAGTAAGTGAGGCAAAGTAGGCACAAGGCCTAAAACAGTAGAGAAACGCTGATGATCACCAGACTGAAGTGCCTTGGTGAATATATCAGCAGTGTTGGCCCGAGTGGCCACGTAAGCAAGACGAAGCTGACCACGCTGCTGCAACTCTCGAGCAAGAAATTAACGCAGAGCGATGTGCTTCGTTGTGTGCTCCATTCTGTTCTCCTAACACAAGGAAATCATGGCCTTGTTGTCTACATACAGAACTGGAGATGAACGAGGCAGCTCTCCCAAGTCGGTCAGCAGGTAGGTGAGCCAGCGTAACTCTTGTGCAACCATGGCCCCTGCGTAGATCTCAGCCTCACAACTGGAACTAAGAACAGAGGACGAGCGGGTAGACCGTCAAGAAAAAGACCCGGAGCCAAGGCTGAAAGTGTAACCCGGTGACGACCGCTGAGTAGTCAAGTCGTCAACCCAAGAATCGTCTGCGTGTTTAGTGAGGACAACTCGACCCCGTCCTCCAAGCACGAGCCCCATGCCCGACATACTGCACAAGTAGCGCAACACCCTCTTAGCGATCTCCCAGTGCTCTAATCGGTGTCTCCCGGGCGCAACGTAGCGTGCCAGGATGCTAAGAGGGTAGGCAAGGTCTGTGAAAACTAACAAACGAGAATGATTGAACTATGAAAGAGTTGGGTACAAGTGCTAACCCTAATTGGGTTGTACCCCTTATGGGCTACCCCACTATAGCCTACACAAATGTAAGCACTATAACATTCTGACACACCCCCATAGGCAAAGTGGGGGAGAACAAGTGGTCACAAGACCAGTCAAGAAAAGCAAAGCAAGCTCAGGGTGGATCACAAAGTCACCACACAGTGCGAGCACAAGCAAAGGGCCACAAGGCCAGTTCACGTGCAGAGTTCTATAAAAAAGAACAACCAATACAGTGATCATACCCTAGCAAGTGTAAGCATGCAGGTACATATATACATCACGGCACAAGCAAAGTCACACAGTGAGCAAGTGAGACAAAGTAGGCACAAGGCCTAAACCAGTAGAGAAACGCTGATGATCACCAGGTGGAAGTGGCTTGGTGAATATATCAGCAGTGTTGGCCCTAGGGGCCACGTACGCAAGACGAAGCTGGCCACGCTACTGCAAATCTCGAGCAAGGAAGTATCGTAGAGCGATGTGCTTCGTTCTGTGCTCCAGTCTGTGCTCCTGACACAAGGCAATCATGGCCTTGTTGTCTACGTACAGGACTGGAGGCGAACGAGGCTGCTCTCCCAAGTCGGTCAGCAAGTAGGTGAGCCAGCGTAGCTCCTGTGCAGCCATGGCTCCGGCGTAGATCTCAGCCTCACAACTGGAGCTGAGAACCGAAGACGAGCGGGTAGACCGCCAGGAAATAGAGCCGGACCCAAGGCTGAAGGTGTAACCCTGTGACGACCGCTGCGTAGCTGAGTCGTCAACCCAGGAGGCGTCTACGTGACCAGTGAGGACAACTGGACCTCGTCCTCGAAGCACAAGCCCCATGCCCGACGTACTGCACAGGTAATGCAGTACCCTCTTCGCAGCATCCTAGTGCACCTTTCGGTGTCTACCGGGAGCCACGTAGCGAGCCAGAAGACTGAGAGGGTACGCGAGGTCAGGTCGTGTGCAAGTCATCAGGTACATGA